AAATAAAAAAATTAGCTAGGTATAGTGGCACACACTTGTAGTCCCAGCTACTCGGGAGGCTGAGGCAGGAGGATTGCTTGAGCCCAGGAGTTTAAGGTTGCAGTGAGCTATGATGATGACATTGCACTCTAGCCCAGGCAACAGAGGAAGAGCTTGTCTCAAAACAAAACAAACCCATATTAAAACCTATATTCTCACATAGAAAGTTCTCCACCATATATTTAGTGAAAGGCAAGTAGCAGGAGAACAATATATTTGATGTGTTTCTCTATGTGTGGGGGAAACAAAAATATGCATATATTCATATACACATATAAAATGGCTCAAAGGATACCAAATTGTTAACAGTAGCTACCACCAGTGAGGCCATTTTTTTATTTGACACAATTCTATACTATTTGATTTTTTTTTTGAACAAACATATATTACTTTCATAATATAATATCCTCCATACCATGAGACCAAAGATGCCATGCCTGTGGGTAGTCAGACCAGCAGAGAAGCAAACTCAACTCCAAACATAGACCTTTATTGTCTACTGGCCGAACTACAAACCACTCATTCTGCCCAACATAGTAGACAGTTCCGTTTAGGGCTATGGGAAGAGGCATGTCTTCTAAAACACTAGCCACTCGCTATTGCCCATCTATCTCCAACATTAAAACTCAAAGGATTATGTACCTATTTGATAGCCACTCAAGGAAGAGGTATGTTTCTACATCCTGTGAAAGGGAATCTTTAGTACCCTGAGCTGGAAGTCTGAAAGTCAGAGTAACAGTAACTAGTCAGGAACCAAAGTTTTTAACAAGTGCCTCTGGGAATCAACAAGAAGGGAAAATGGTGTTAGTGAATGTGGTCATAGGTTTAGGGCTCCGGAAATCAGAGGAAGAGGAAGGGATAGAGATCTTGGAGGGAGGATTCCATACCTGCCATGCACTACGTCAACAGGACAAATGTTTTCACCACAACACTGTCAGGGAAAAAGGCATGATTTGGGGTATAAGAGTTACAGACATAGAGACAAATATTGGCTCTCCTCTTCTTTGTGAGATATTCCCTTTTTCTTTCTATCTCCTGAACTCTTCCACTTCTCTCCTCTTTCTAAATTAAATTGGTATACAGGTTTCCCAACCATCCCATGTCATTCAAGAATGTATTCTAATGGCATAAAAGGTTATTCCTAGTTCAATAACCATTGCACATTTTGATCATTTTTGGTAAATATATATATTTCCCTCCCATCCATAAATTAGCCCTTTCCCTTATATTTGGGGGGAAAATGGTTACCATTCTGTGCTGTAATATGATATAGCCCATACTTTTTTGCATGCTAACTCGGGAACTAGAGAAGAACAAAAAGACTGCCAAGAAAGCAAGATAACTTTAAATTGTTGATTTAACAAGCTTAGTTAACACAAAATACTAAGGTTGACAAAAGCAAGTTGCTAGATTCTGAGGAATACCTACATTGTAGAGAATGTGTTTCAGATTCCTGATGTGACTACTAAATTCTAACTACTAAACAGAAGGGAAAGAATTCTGTATTTACCGAACAAAGTCATATATTTCATATTCTTAATTTTAAAAACAGATAACATTCTTTGCTCCAGTGATTCCAAAGGGCAAAATGTATTAGAAGCTGTCTCTTTAAAACCTCCCCCACTCTTTTTGAATTAGGTTGAAAGGGATTGGGAGACACAGGGACAAGCAAGGTTTCCAGGCATGGGGAGAGGGTGGAAAGTTTGCTCTGAGGAGTTTAACTGAGCAGACTCCTTTGGAGCGTCTCTGCAAGATGCTTCTAGTAAAGGCTGAGATATTGGGAGATGGATGCATATGCAAATTTGAGGAATTCTCACCCAGAGGGTCTGTTTCCTTTGTTTCGTTGAGACAACACTCAACACGTCTTTTTTTTTTTCTTCTTGCTGCGTCGCCTGGGCTAGAGTGCAGTGGCATCATCACAGCTCACTGCAACTTCAAATTCCTGGGCTCCAGTGATCCTACAGCCTCAGCCCCCCAAATAGCTGGGACTACAAGCGCGCACCACCACGCCCACCCAATTTTTCTGTTTGTGTAGAGACGGGGTCTCGCTCTTGCTCAGGCTGGTCTCGGACTCCTGACCTCAAGCGATCCTCCCGCCTCAGCCTCCCAGAGTGCTAGGATTACAGGCGTGAGTCCCGCGCCCGGCCTCAACATGTCTTTATTTAATGAGTGTTTTAGAAAGTTTTAAGATGTTCATGTTTCCATACTAGAAGAAAATAATCTTTTTCAAACCTAGTTATACTTACAAAATCAAACTAGCAAATATGATTCATAAGCAACGTTTAAAAAATAAAAACATCCTTAGCACCAAAGAGAACTGGGATATACTCTGGCTCTTACACTAACCCATCTGTGACCTCACTCAAGTTATATCCCCTCTCGAAGTCTCAGTTCAAAACTGTGTAAAAGGAGGAGTTTGGACTCATGACCTGTAGAATTTTCCAATTTGTGCTCAACTTCTTCACATATATTTCCTATGTGAAGCAAACAACACATACCACTATCACTAGCACAGTTTTGTCAACCCACCTTAAACGACCTTTAATGTTCTGCGGGATTCAATCAATATGGAGGTAAACAGAGGTGACAGGAATGAAGAAACAGGGCCCTAGTACTAGCCTTTCGGGTGACGATGCTCCCGCGCTCTGCGAGTCTGGCCCCGGCTTCTACACGCTGTGAACGCCCCAGGGCCTCCCACCCGCCAGCGTCCCACCTGCACTCTCCGCCTCTTCAGAGCCGCCGCGTCCAGCCACACGCCGCAGGCCTCCTCCTCGGCTCCTCTCCGCCTCATGGCTGCCGAGAGGACCAGACCAGCAAGAGCCCCCGCCCGGCTCGCGACGCCTCAGGGAGCGACCGGAACCGCCGCCGCCGCCGTTTGGATCTCGCGCCAACGCCGGGAGCGGAGCCACGTCGCGGCTGCCCCCGGCGCAGGCCCCGCCCCCGGCGTCAGCCCCGCCCCTTCTCTAAGCCACGCCTCCGCGTTAGCAACAGAGCACCGGTCCTTCCGTGCGGGGGGGCTTCGGCCTCGCCCGGGCGGGGGTGTTCTTCCTGATCTCCTCCGTCAGGAGCTGGATTCTGGAAACTGCTGTGTGACGGCTCTCCACATTGTCAAGAACGTGCAGTTCTTTTTGCTGAATTGCAGATTTCTTGCTGTAATGTGTAGCCGAGCCCCTTGAGATTTTAGTACCTCAGCATTTTTTAGTGGCCGACACGATGTAAATTCTGACTAGGCCCTTAGTTGCCCGCACCTGCTACCCATTCGCTTCCTGCTTGCCCAGTGCCGCTTGTTCTGACAGTAATCATTAACTGCCGGTGTGCTGGTTTTTGTCGAGCAGTAGAGGTGGTCTAAAAATAAAATCCTAACCACCCCCGCAACTGAACGGACCCCTCTCGGCCAAAGGGAACCCAGAAAAAACCTTAAAACTGAATTCCCAGCCATGAAGGGATGGGAGCTGTAAAGCACCTGCACGTTCTCTTCATAAATATTCATGAATCCTATAGCTTGTTAAATATGTATATTTAGCCACCCCACTCAGTATAAAATCCTGTTCCCTTTGTTCTCTCCCTTGAAACCTGTGCTCCTGGCTTGGGGCCAGAGCGGTGGTTGCTAGCCTGTCAGAATGGCCACTGCAGGTTGAGAACCCTTCACGAGAAATAAAGCTCTCCTTTTTACAAAGTAGAAACCTCGTAGGTTTTTTTTTTAAGTTAACAGAGACAACTCTAGGGTGACAGGGAAAATGTATGAGCTTGTTTTGCAGAAGGAATGAATGCCTTTGAGGAAGTTAGCTGCAGAAGCTCCGAAGTCTAGTTGCTCAGGATGTCATCTGACACTGAAGAAACAGACTTCACCCTAGGTCCCTGGAACCCCTTCTCATACCCTGCATAAAACATCCCCTCTTCATCTCTTCGAGAAGACGGATCTGACAAATCTTGCTCTCCTGTCTTCTTGCTTTGGCCACATTGAATAAACCTTTATCTCCAAGCACCAGCGTCACAGTGTTTGGCTTTAGCTGTGCATGGAGTACAGAAGCCTGAATTTGAGGTTTTACAACAAATATAGTAATTTACAACAAATATAGTAACTACCCTGGGCTCAGGATTTTCCTCATCTCATCGCTGAATATTCGCAATCATGCCAGAGGGAAGCGGTGGGGGGAGGATCAGGTCCGTGCACTCCAGAGCTGGGGTCCTCGACCTAAATGGTTACCAAACACTCGAATTTGTGAATTATTTTAGTAAATAAAAAAGAAAATCTAAGTGTAACTACAAAACCACATGGAAGAGGATTTTTGAAAAGGTAAAGTAAAAATTTGGAACTAGCTTTTAGTTTTCACCAAGTGTGACCTTGCATTTTAAAGAGGATTTAGTGTGGAAAGTGTCTCAGAAATGCAAAAATGCTGGCATCCCAACCATCCTTCTGCCCCAATCACCGTCTCCATAGATGGAATATATGGATATGTATCTGTAAGTTTTAATAATACGTATCAATATATATCAAAATATGCATTAATATACACACATATATATATCTCACGAGGTCCCCAAGGATAATTTAGCAGTGGAGTGATATTTCTTACTCATTTGGGTTTTTTCCTTATCTTCCTAATTTTCCTTCATTTTACATACATTGCTTGTAGACTATTAAAAAAGTAATGTTATAAAAGTTAACATATAAAAGCCTTCTTGAAGAAAAAACAAAAAAATGAAAACTTTGTCAAATTATAAAGTGGGATTATATATATTTTAAACTCATTTGTTTATTCCTAAAATTTATTTAGTAATAAAACTGCCCCCACTCCCTTGCCAAACAAATTTCACCTATATGTATATAGTATATAAGTCCCCACCCCCACCCGCAGGCAAAGATAAAACAAGAACTGCGCCCCTCCACCCTGTGTCCACCCAGCTTCCTACAGAAAACCTCCTCCAATACTGTAAGTGGGGGCCCCTCCCTGGGACAGGAGACAAAGAGCAAAGACGCAGCTACTGTCACAGCCACTTTATTACATCCAGGACACATTAGAGTCCAGACCAAGCCTAGCCCCAGCCCCACTGAACTCCTCCTTCCGCACCTCTGGGCCTTTGCACAGGTTTTCCCCTCTGCCTGGAATGCCCTTCCTATCCTCCATCTGCAAACTCCTATTCATCCTTCCCAATCCAAGACACAGAGGGTCCCGGGAAGTCTTGATTATTCCCTCTTAGTGCTTCCCTTGACGGTTCATTCAGATATTAAAGCCTTTGTCATCCTGCATTTTGATCCACAGGGCCCAGCTGGTGGCCTGTCTCTGAGCAGAGGCATAGGAAACACTGACCGGATAACTGAATCATGAACAAGGGAAGCAGGAGAGAAGCTGGGAACAGGCTGTGTGGGACACAGAAGCCAGAGCTAGGAGACTTGGGGGCTCACTGTCTGGGATGGTGACTGAAGGGGTATGAGGCATTGGATGGGATCATTTACGTCTGGCACAATCTTCTACCTTTGGGGGTCTCTGGAGCTCCAACGCGGCAGGCTGCGCTGCAAGGGACGGCAAGATCCCACACGTATTTGGGTCCTGCCCCTTCCCCATCCACCCAGGAAATCTGAGTAGAGGTGGGTTGACGAGGCCTCCCCCGCCTCTCAGCTCAGTAAGTTTTACCTCCCACCCAGACAATCTGGAAGCCCCAAACTGGAGTCCTGACTCAAGGTGACCCCCCAGCTCCACCCCCCAGTAAGTGGAGAGGAGGGGCAAACCAGGGTGGCCCATGCCTTTATCTCTTTCCCCCTCTCTCAGGACAGGAAGCTGGGGCAGGCCCAAAAGAGGACCCCCGCAGGTCCTGGCCAACCTCCAGATCCAAGGATTGGCCAGTGCTGCCCCTGGCAGTTGAGGTGTACACAGAGTCACCGCAGGCCAGACACAAACAACTTTACCAGGGCTTGTTCCCCTCTGAAACCAAGCCCAGACCTCTGTCCCCCGACTATACCCGCCTCCCTACCAGCTACCACCCCCTTCACTTGGTCTTCTGATCGAGTCTGTGCCGCACCAGCTGGCTCAGGAGGAACGCAGTGAGGAAACTGCTGCCTGCAGTGAGCAGGAAGAGGCCAGAGAAGTTGTGGGGCCAGTGGGCGTGCAGAGGCGCGTAGATGGGCCGCCGGGACTCGTAGTCCAGCGCCACAGCCTCCAGCTGAGCCAGCGTGCACAGCACCAGGAAGACATGGAACACCTGGTGGCCCTGGCCAAAGACGTGGCAGCTGCCAGGGAACCAGCGCTCAGGCACGAAGGCAGAGAAGAAAGCAGCAGCCAGCAGAAAGAATACCACCTGGCATTTGTGGTAGAGAAGGGCTGGGTCATCGGTGGCAGGGCCAGGGGACACCAAGATGCGGTGCACCACGGGGCTGATGTCCAGCGCATAGGCCAGGGCCGAGGGCATCTCCTGGCAAGCGCGGCCCAGCAGGCCTGGTTTCTGGATGAACTTGCTGTAGCAGGAGCCAGCGCAGGAGAGCCAGGCGAGAAAGGCGGCCGTGGGCAGGAAAATGGCCTGTACCTGGGCATGCCAGGCGGGCTCGATGGCATAGTAGAAGTGCACCAGCGCGCTGCCGTACTGGTACACGGCCACCCCCACGTAGTCCAAGAAGAAGAAGCTGTAATGCCAGAACTCGGACTTGGCCTGCAAGAGGTGGGCCAAGGCACTGAAGGAGAGGTAGGTGAAGGAGGTGAGGATGATGATGAAGAGGGGCAGGGCATGCGGGTCTCCCCAGAAGTCCACGGTCCTTGCAAACATGGCCAGCCGCAGCAGCAGCACCACGGCTGCCACTAGGTGGGTCCAGACGTTCACCGCCTCGTTGTGCTGCTGGAAAAGCGTGCGGAAGTAGAAGCACCAGGTCTGATGCAGCGGCCGGTAGCCCACGTAGATGTACGGCTTCCAGAAGAGGGGCGGCACCTCCGCTCGGTCCACCGTGAAGATGGGCTCTGGCTGCAGAGATGGCTGTGGCTTCTGGCTGACCTGCCACAGACTGGGCAGGAGGTGGCTGAGCTTCTGGGCCATGGCCATGGCTGTGGGCCTGGGCAGGGCGCTAGGAGAGAGGCCAGAGCAAGGTCACAGGCCTGGTGTCCTCCTTACCCCCACGAGCAGCAGCCGGGGGGCTCTGATGCCCAGGCTTTACTCCCTCCTTCCCACACCCTCATCCCTACTCTGGGTTTAAGGGGAGAGGAGTCATCCTAAGGAGGAGCTCAGCTCTGACCTCGTGAGAGCAAGGGTCGTTGTTTTGTTCCCTAATGTATCCCAAGTACCTAAGACAGTGCCCAAACCATGGCAGGTGCTCAGTAAATGTCGAGGAACGCACGAGTTAACAGGGCTGCCTGCCTCGGTCATGTCCTTTCCAGCCCAGGTCCACACAGTAGCCCCGGCTGTTTTCTCTCCTAAAGTACAGATCCAGCCACATGGAACACATGAGATGGGGACAGGCTCTCTCAGCCTGTGTTCGTGCCACCATCAGTGTTCACCTGGTGGCAACAATGACCTTGCTAACACAACCACTGCCTCTACCTATAGCCCCTTCAGAGTGGCCCAGGTCTCCCACTGACCCTCCGTCACCCTACACGCTCTGGTCCCTGCTACCTTCTCCAGCATCTTGCTCAACCACAGCGTACTCTAAATCCAGTCACAGCCTCACCAAACCCCTGGACTGCTGTTTCCATGTCTATGGCTTTGCACAAGCTGTTCCCTATGCCTGAGACATTTTCCTCCTCTTGCCTGCTAAGCAAACTCCTAATCATCCCTCAAAACCCATCTCTTCTGTGATACTTTCCCATG